TCATTCTTCTTTATCTCTTTATTCATTCCTCTTCATTCTGGAAATGTTTCTCAGATTTATTTATTAGATTTATCCTAGATATCATCAATTCAATTTTCTGTAAAAGCTAGTCTATTTACAGCTTCCTACATAGATTCTTTCGTTACTGATGCTTGTGGGAAAGGAGGATTAAGGATTTTTAGGGGATAGAGTTGCATGTTTTTAACTTGAATTTAGTAATAAGGACAATCTTCTCCTAAAATTAAAATTAAAAAGGTTCATGGAGAATTTTTACCTCAGAGAAAAATATTTCTCCTAAGTCTTTTAGCTTTTGAAATTTTTTCTTATAACTTTCTAAGTTTTAAAAAATTATGTTAGATAGTTGGTTTTTAAAGGGATTGAGAGGCATTTGTTTTTTAAAAAAATAAGGTTCTGCTATATATGTTTTTCTATAATGTGATACTGGCTGGACAGAGTGGCTCACGCCTGTAATCCTAGCACTTGGGAGGCTGAGGCAGGCAGGAGCCCGGGAGTTCAAGACCAGCCTGGACAACATGGCAAAACCCTCTTTTATAATAATAAATATATATATATATATATATTCTAAGTCCCTTTAGGTTCATATAGACCTAACTCATTCTTTTATTACAGCTAATAATTATCTGTAGAATGCATCCACCATTAATTTATTTAACTAATTTCTATTACCAGCATTCAGGTTTTGTCATTCACAAATTGTTTGGATCCAGTACCATAAACAAGATCACTAAATCAAAGAGTATGTGTATTTTCAATTTTAACATGGTTTTCCAAAAAGCCTGTAGCAATTTCTAGTGCTTCCACCTATGTATGATTGTTCTTTTCCAACATTTCACAAGTTCCAGTGTTTTACCAATTTTCCACAAATCTGATGGGCATCTCCTTGTTACTTTACCTTGCATTACTCTAATCATTAAGGTAACAGCTTACTGACCACTTGAATTTGCTCTTCTGTAAGGTGCCTATTAATATTTTCTACATTGAAACTCTTTATATATTATGGATACTGACACTTTTATTTACCAAATTTGTTGTAAGAATCTTCCTTATTCTATTATCTTTTGTGTTTTATTATATTTTTGGAATATAATTTTTAAAAATTAAAATATCTATTACTTCTTTGATAAATTCTGAATTCTGTCTTGTTTGAAAATAATAAATACATAAAAAGATTTACTGCAACTCAAGGTCACAGTCAACTATATCTTGTTCTAAAATTATAATTTTTGTTTACATTTAAGCCTCTAATTCCTCCAGATTTGTGTATATAGTATGTTTTACATCCACATGACTAACCAATTCTACCAGCACCATTTAATAAATAATCTCTTATCCACTGAATGGAAGTATGTATATATCCTGGGCTCTAAGGTTAAGTCTTCCAGTTGTCTATTCTTTCGCTAATATCATACCCTTTTTAGTTTATAACCTAACACATGTTTCTGAAAATGGTAAGGCAAGGCCCTTCTTACTATATTTTTCATATTCCTAGTCATTAGTTCTTCCATAACAACTTTAAACGTATGTAACCCAGTTTCACAGAACTTTTCATATTTTGTTATCTGGAAATTCTTTTAATAGGAATCAATAAAATCTCATACTGAGAGGCCATATACGGTAGAGAGCAGTGGTTAAATAAATAAACTTTTTAGCTGAAGTCAATTTGTAAAAATGTCTTAACCTTTTATATAAATTAACAGTAGTACTTACACAATAGTCTTAAGAGGATGAAATAATACCTATTAGGCATTTAATACAGTGTTACACACTTGTAGGAGTTGCTCAAGAAATACTAGCTACACAATTAAATACTACGGACAATGGAAAAAGACCCACCTGTAACTGGGAAGGGGGAAAACTCCTTGAGGGTGGAGACTTGGTTTTCCAGTAAGGAATTCAGAGTACAAAGTGATGTGTCACCTTTATAAAACTACTTACAGATTTTAAATCTCAAAGGCATTAAAAAAAAAATCCAGCAAAGTTTATTTTAAAAATGTAAAGATGAACATGTAAAACCATGGGGGGAAAATTCTGGTCCTTTCCCAAATTTCAATTGTAATTTTCATGTATTTTCTCTCTTTTATTTTGCCTTATTTTGTAAATATGTTCACAAAACTAAACAATTCAAAAGTTACCCTTTATGCTTATCACTGTTAACAGCTTTAATAGAAAAAATTAGAAAATGAAGGGAAAACCAACCAAAATCTTCCAAATGACGGTAGTAAATTAGGATGAAGACAAGGAAAACACCATTCTCCCTAAGAGCAAGCATGTACTGCCCTGGCACATAGTAGGCTATATACTAGGTATCTTCTCTCCTGTGCTGCCACAGCAGCAGTGGGACAACAGGTAGAGGGAGGGAACTGAGCTGCACTCGGTAGAAATGGTTGGTGCACCATGAAAGGAAAAGACTCTCCAAGTTCCTACAGAATTTTTACCTCCAGAACAACGTAAAGTAATGGAATTGACTTTTTCAATGCACTAATAATAACCCCCAAAAGCCATCTCTGTCTTCAGAGCTGACAATCTAGTAATGACACCTAGTACAAAACACAGTACTTCTCTTGCTGCTGTCCTAAGTTTTGCCTAGCATCATTTGACAAGACTCTTAGAAAAAAATCCCTTGCTTAATCTCCTTACTTACTGCAATAAGTAGAGCAATTCAAAGAATCTCCACTGAAGGAAGCCAGTGTCTACTTCCCATCCTCATTAAAGAAATCATGCTGCGTCATTCATTCTTCAGAAATCAGTGGCATGGTAATAATGCCAGTGGCAATTAGAAAATATCTCTTCCTTTAAGTGTTACTGGACATAGAAATATGGCCTAGACAAAAAGGCCTAGACATTGTGATAAGTAAAATAAGATTAAAAAAAAAAAAAAGCCTGTGAGGGGAGATCTAATAAAACATAATTAACAGAAAAACTAAATCTTAAATTTTTGCTCAACTGTCTATCATTTATTAAAAGCTTCAGTTATTACTTGTTTATCCAGCAGTGACCATAGCCAGCACTGCCTGTTAAGTTAACTGGTAATAAAATCTGTTTCTTAGAGGTATCATGCCCAAGCAGATACCAACCCACTGGGCCAATGTACTGTGTAGTGCTGACTGCATTCTAACAAACAATGAGCTTTCCATTTCTGATTTTAGAAAAAGTTCCTGTAATGACAGCAGAAAGCTGATAAGGTTATGTCTTCTATAGCAACAATTCTTTTAGAGTAAGCCAGTTACCAGTTACATCCCTCTTGAATACTAGATTTTTTCCTAAGAAAATTCCACCTGTGCACATCACTAAAAATGTAGCAAACAACTTCAGGAAGTTAAAAAAAAATTCCTTGACCCTTATCCAGGGAGTCAGATCAAAAGCTATTATAAGGTTTCCAAAATCCCTAGTGGGGCCTTGTTCTGAGTAAACTTGAGACTAGAGTTGTACTGGAAAGGCTTATGAGCAGGTAAGAGAAACAGTAGCCAGCAGGAAAACGCAAGGTAAGGACAATAAAAGCAACAGAGAGAAGAGATTCACAGCCACACTAAAGCACATACTCTAACAGCACAATGTTTATTCATTCATTTGAAAAATATTTTACTATTATGTACTAGGCAAGGTACTAAGAGATGTGATAGCAATCAAACTCTGATGTAGCTAACATGGTTCTTGCTTTCAGGTATCAAGAAAAGACAATCATCTTGATGAATAATCAACTGAGATACATTAATAATAAAGAAAATATATTTTATGAGAGCCTACAACAAAAGAACCTAGCTTAGATTGAAGACTTCACAAAGGCTTCCCTAAAGTAAGGCTAAGGTGAAATCTAACAACAGGAGTTCTCTATGCATAAATGGGAGTGGGAGATAAAATTAATATAAGCCTTACAGACTGAGAGAACCACATATTCAAACCACATACGGTGCAGGGAGTATGGAGATTAGACAGTCTTACTACGAAATTAGGAAGATGTGGGCTCTCTTACTAACAGCTTTCTTCTTAGCCTATTACTTCTGTAAAAATCACAGTATACGCAGCATAGGGTAGTTGAGAGAATTAAATCAGAGAATATATCTAAAGCATTATGTAAAATGCCATGGCACACAGTTAAGTGTTCACTAAACATTAGTGATGACAAGTATACAATAGTTAAGAGAACCTGTATTTAGTATGTTTTCAATTGCCTGAGTACATTCAACCCCATAAATATTAGTGGTCCTTAAAGCCACCAGTAACAAATTTCTAGAGCAACATATAAGCAACTTAAATATTTTAATAATGCTCGCTCCTCATTTTTACTTATATAAATGTGCTAAAAAGAGTTGGATTTGGATACAGAACAAATAGCTGCCCATTGATATCCACTGGGGACTGGTTTCAAGACCCTCCTCAGATACCAAAATCTGCGCATGTGGCCCTGTCGAACCCGCATATATGAAGTCAGCCCTCCATATCCTCAGGTTTCATATCCTGAAAATATGGAATCTTGATAAGTGTCTGATTGTGGATGTAGAATCTGCAGGTACAGAGAGGACCGACTGCTGAGAAACAATCACGAGTGGAACCAGGCAGTTCAAACTTGTGTTGTTCATGGGTCAACTGTACATGTTATCTCCACATGAGGACTACAATGTACTTTACTATTGATTCTTTAAAAAAGCAAACTAACAATTAACTGAAAAATTGTGGTTAATGTTTAAGTGAAATAAGTTGAAGAACAATTCAAAAAGAAAATCTTTATATTTCACTTTACCTCTAGGCAAAGTATTACATGGATCCCCAGTAATGGATAATGCACTATTTATGTATAACTCTGTAAATATTCACAGAAATACATCCTCTTCAGATTTATGCTCTCCATTACCTTTGTGTGCTGAGGACATTTTACCCAAACTTAAATATCTCTAACACATCTCCTGGCCTGAGATTGCTCAATAGATAAGAACTGAGGCATCAAGACACTTAACTGCTGTACTACAACAACGCCACATTACCTGGAAAACTAGTCTTCATTATATCAATTCCAACTTGCAGCTCAGGTTCAGCAGCAAGCACCGCATAATCCCCTTGATGAGAGATGTTAAAGTTGAAATTCGGATAAGGATTCGATGAGTCCTTTGCAAGAACTGGTTTTCCTTTTGCAGTTCTTTGCAAACGAATATGATTCCAAGGGATATTCAATTTCTCTGCAACTAATTTCCTTATCATCAGACGACCAGCCTGTTAAGTACACAAAACATTTGGTATGTACTGATGTCTACTAAAGATACAAGCACACTGTGTGTAAAAGTGTATTTTTTTGGTTTCTAAAATTTTCATTTTTAAAACTTTTCAAAATACTTAAGTATTAAACACACTTTAATTAAGACTTAAGCAATGCTTAAGTAGATAAAAGGTTAAAGCTCGCTGTAACAATTCCCTCTCCTTCACTAGTAACCAAAGTTAACAGCTGGCATCCTTTCAGTCTTTTCTGTATTTAAGTGTGCATTTACATGTTTTTGCTAACTCTACATATAAACACAAACATGAGACTATACTTACGTCATATTCTACCACATATAAGCTTTTAAATTTGTAAGTATTAGGAATTATTTTATGTCTGTACACATTGGTCTGGTCCTCGCAGTTTTAACCGTAACGTATTTCATTAATATTATTTCCCATTTATTGGACATTTTAGGCTGGCTTTAGACTTGCTGTCATAAATAACTCTGCAATAAGCAGCCCTACTGTATCTACATCTGTGCATATGTATTTCAGCTTCAACAATTAGCAAGGCATGACCTATCTTGTTCTGCTCTCCCATCTCCATTTATTATTTTTTAAAAAATTACTAAACACACACACACACAAACAAGAATATAAGATGACAAAGCATATATTTTAAAAAGTATCTTTCAGGGTTTTTTTTTTCTTCTTTAATTCTAACACTGACTAAATTTTAAACATTGCAGGCTTTTAAAAGTAGATCATTTCACAATTCCTTAAAAATTATAAGTGTAAAAAATGTTCACCAATGTGCCTTAAAAATTATAAACTAGCCTACATGTCAAACAGAAAGGTGTTTGAATATGTAACATTTTAAATAAAGGACTGTCTTTTAAATGATAGTAATTCACGATTGTCTCAAATTGCACTATATAGATTGTTTTGAAATCCAGTTTTCTATTTGTTGCTTTAAAATACATCGCTTAAACAAAGCGACATAAAATACTGTTTCCTATGCCATCTAGTGAGGAAGGTATCTTCTCCGGGCTTCACTCTCATTGGCTTCAATCCCAGGGAGCGCAGGGCTAGGAACTAAATCATACTGACAATTTCTAGGGCCTACCACGTGTAGGGTGTCCCTGGAGAATGGTGGGATATTTAATAGGCAGAAAAAGCATGGGCTATGAACCCACGTAAAGAAAAAACATTAATAAAATTTAAAGACATAAAAACATTCACTACAGAAAAAAAAAAAAAAACAATTTTGTCGGCCTTCCCTGCCCTTATTTCACGGGTTTAGTAGGGTCTCCATTTTCAATAACGGGCAAAGAGATAATTTTTACAGCGATGGAGGCCTCCGAGGCGGTTACAATGGACGTGGAAACCAGCGCCGGCCATTGTCGCCCGGGCTGGCCACAGGCTCCACAGCGAGAGCGCCGCCGACAGGGCGGGAGTGTGGGGTCTCCACAGCCTGGCCCGCCTCCCCCAACATCTGCTACCAAGACTCTAAATACCAAGAAGACCCGCAGTACCATGGCTGCCTTAGCGTCCCGTGCAAAGACGAACTGGCCAATGCGCTCCTTCTCCTCGGGCTGGATCGATCGCACTGCCAGCAGCCATTCGGCTCGGCTCGGCAGCCAAGTGCCGCAGGAAAAGGCCCAGCGCACGCCCTCCATGGATGGCAGCGAGCAGAACCGCTTGGCAGGGAAAACCATACACTGAAGGCGGACTTCGCCGCTACCTCGGGCCTGATGGCGCGGATGCAAACGCGGCCCCGCCCCCTTCTTCCCAGCGTCCGTGGGCAGGGGGAGGGACGTCGCTACGCAGACGGGCACGTTGCCCACCGGGAGCCCTCCCAGCCCGCCCCCAACTCAGCCACCTCCTTGCGGAGAAGCAGCAGCTGGGGGCGGAGATCAGCCCTGCGCTTTGCGGCATTGTATGACGTCGCGCAGGCGTGGCTTCGGAGACGAGCGGAGGGCGGGACCAAGGCCGAGAGCACCACAGTTACGCCACTCACACTTGCGGAAGCGTTAACGGGACAGCGGTGCAGGCCAATCGCAACCAGTCCTCTGGAGGCTGGGAGACTGGGGTGGAGACTTCGGAGACTGCAGTTGCAGGTGGGTGAGCTCCGGGGTCTGAGGGAGGAGTGGGATGTTAGCCCTTGTTCTCTGGGTCTGGGTTGGCCCCTGTGACCCTCAGAGACAGCCGCTTCCGTCGCTCCTTCGTGTACAGGCCACGAAGGTCTCCACTTCTAGGAGGGGGTCTGCAGTGGTGCCCCCTGGAGTTGTGCAACGCGGCAGCCCTGAGTTGCTTCTTTCCCTGCCCCCTAGCCCCATCGGCCCAAGACCCACCCTCACACCGTACGCTCCCGACCCTTAGCAGCCACCTACCTGAAACCATCCCTCCGAAGGCCGAGCAGAGGCACTGCCCCCAGTGCGGAACACCGACCTCGCCTGAATCCGAGGTTGCCGGCGAGCTGCTGGGCTAATGCTGGCAGTTTATCTGGGGGCGATGAAGTGATCCAGGTGCTGTTTTCCGTTGCCAAGCCTGGGCTAGAGCCCTAGCAGGAAAACAGGATTCCATTGTTGAGGCAGCAGTGTTTCCATCATGACAGAGGGCCTTTCTCTAACAGCAGCAGAAACAAGTAAATAACTCTGCTCACTTATTTTCTCAGGCTTTATGAAGGGTCATACTGACGTATGTCTGTTTCCTTAGTTGTTTCGTGTAGGCTGTTGTTGACTCTCGTATGAAAGCCCACGCGATCCAAGTGCCCTGCAGGTTTTGTTCCAGGGAAAAGGTCTCTGCAGATGACTGTAAATGACTACCTGGAGGTCGATTAAAGTGCAGTACTGCGGGATTCAGCCGATTTCCTTCTTCCTCTGACTGCCAGGAAATACCAGCCGAAGGCCAGCAGTAGTAATTAACACAGTTACCTTCCTATTACCTCTGTCTTCTTTACGATGGGTTCTATTCTGTTTTTATCTATACTTGTTTTCACTGACTTTTCCTGATATCATAAGCCCCCTCGAATCCCTCAAAAGTAGATGGGATTCTGAGCGGGCACGCACACACACAGAAAGTCAGATCCCTACAGTAAAATGAATTATTGGCTTAATATATCATCTTAGCTAACCAAAAGCCTGTGTCACCTACCATATTGAAAATCTGCTTACCAGCTGCAGGGAGTTTACAATCTGGTAAGGCAAATAAATCATATGCATAAAAAGTACAAGAGACAGTGTAAAGATACATAAGGTAATACTAATACCCATATCGTCAATGATCATAACTCACTTCTTTGTTTTTAAGAATCATATAACTTTTCCTTCTTGCCTTGTAAGTTGATTTTTATAACTTTGGTACATTATACGTTTCTGCTTCCAAAACACTTCTGTGTACGTTATCGCACATGTTATGTACAGCACTTATTACTGATGGAGCCACTGAGCTCAGAAAGAGAATTTGTTTAAATTCAAGTTTAGGAATTTATATCCCATGATTTTCCCATCGAACAAGATCTCTGTGTGTCAAATCTATGGAGTCTAATACACACACAGTAATGCAGGGATTATTTGTACTTGTTATATCTAGAATATTCTCCCCTTCTCCCATTATCACATTCCTTGTTTCCTCTGTATCATTCAGCCCCAAATGTCCTACCAAACAGAGTATCTCTGTTCACCCAGACTAAAATAGCTCACTCTCCCCACTCCCAAACCTCAGCCCCAAACCTAGCATCCTAGTGAATACATTTTATAGGTTTGTTTAATCCCCTTCCCTGTGTACTTTTAAAAATCTTATGTGTCATCCTCTAGAGCTTAGTGTAAACCTTCTCTTAGGGCCTACTTCAGAGTACCTTTTCTCAAAACAGTATTGTTTATGTAATTCATTTGGCAGTTAATCTAGTATTGCCTTATGGCATCTCTTTTACTGTCCTGAATTATTTGCTTGTGCACTATCTTGCAAAATAGAATGGATAGTACTTGAGCGGATTGTCATGTGAACCTTTTACAAATAGGATACATGAGTAAATGTTATTAATGCCTCCACATTTACTGTCGAGGGTAACACTGCTTTTTATATCCCATCTGCCTTTACTTCCCTCACTCACTTTTATTAAGGAAATATAAATATGCAGTTCATAACTTGCTTAACTGTGTTAAATGAACCCAACAATTTTATTAAAATATTTTTTATTGCATTGGTCAGGGGAAGAAGAGGACTGAAGTAATAGAGGCTGGCTCAGTCTGTAATGATTGTGTTGCTTGATGCTGATCTGGGGCTTCTCAGCAGGATGCTGGGAGGCTCATACTGTTTCCAGCTCTACCACCAACTGTCTGTGTGACTTTGGTTACAGAGGACCCTATGCATGATGTAACCTTTTCCGGGTATTGATTTCAATGGAAAGGCATTGGATGAGATCATCTCTAAGTCTAGGTGTTTTTTAGATATATTCACTAACTCTTTATTGGGTCACAAACTTTATTCTACCTCAAACCTTTCCCCCCTGCCAAGACTTCTTTGAGTAGCTCCCTAATTCTACCAGTTACTCAATGAAAAAAGGATGATGGTCCTTTTCTTTGACTCCCTATATCCAATCCATCTCCAAATGTTTTTGGCTCTACTTTAAAATACAGCTAAATCCATTTATTTCTCTTTATTTCCACTGTTAACACGCTGGTATAACCCGCCATCACTTTTCATCTGAAATACTAATCATTTTTCTAGCCTGCCTGACAAAGGGGAGCACTCTCTTCCAATGTCTGTCTTCCATGCCGTAGCACAACCTGCTGACAGAGCTAAATCTAGAAATCCATGCCCTTAATCTTCATGCTATATTGCCTTCTTATTAGACTGAGAAGGAGAGGCCAGCAAGTAAGAAACCTGAAGTAAGAAACCTGAAGAATGTTGTGGCACAGAAACTAAAAGATGAGTGTTTCAAGAAGGACTAGTTAACAGTGTGAATATTCCTAAGAGGTGAAATAAGATGAGGAGAGAGAAGTGAGAATTTAGCTTCAAGATGGTAGTGTGGTGACATTGACAAGGGCAGTTTTAATGGAGTAAAAGAAACTTGATTTTAGTGGGTTGAGACAATAACCGGAGGTGACACAACCACAGAGTGTTCTTGAAAATTTTTCTGGATTTAGGAAGTAGAAAGATGGGATGGTAGCTACAGGAGAATAAAAGGTCAGATGACAGATTTTCGTTTAATGTTTGTTTAAAGATGAAAGACAGCAGAAGTGGCATGCTGATGGAAAATGTCCAGAAGTGTGGAGAAATTGTTAATGCAGGAGAAGGGAGGTGTGTATGTTTGTGTGTGTGTTCACCATTCTAAAGTGGGCTCCAGAGTAGAGAACCTTGTCTACGTTGGTTTTAGCTGCATTTCTAGTATCTAGAATAGTGTCTGCCACAATATTTGTTACTCCACAAACTATCTAATATTTGTTGAATAAATGAATGACTCGGACTCCTCGTACCTTCTCCTTAGCTACAAAAATATATATTTTTTAAATGATGTCATGTCACTGTCCAGTTTAAAGTGGTCAGTTGTTACTATTTCACTTGGAATAAAACCCCAGCTCCTGTGACCCACAGGATTCCGCCTGACCCTATTTCCTGACCCTCCTGCTTGCATTAACTACTCCAGCCACATTGGCCGCCTTTAATTTCTTAAAACGGAAGGACTCCTTTCCCCCTGTAGGGCTTTATATGTGATTTCGCTCACTATCCCCTTACCTTTTCATCATTCAGTTCTCAAATGACACTTCAGAAAGGCTTTCCCTAATAGTGTAGTGGATGAAAGCAAGGGCTGTCTACCCAGACTGAGTTCACATACCAACCTCCCCACTTACTTGCTATATGATCTTAGCCAAACTACTTAAATTATCAAAGCCCATTTTCTCTCTCTTAAAGTGAAGATAAGTATCTGCTTTATTTAGTTTTTTTGAAGATTAAAAGAATATGTGTAAAACATATAGCATGGGCCAGGCGCAGTGGCTCATGCCTATTGTCACAGCACTTTGGGAAGCTGAGGCACAAGTATCACCTAAGGCCAGGAGTTTGAGCCCACCTGGGTATTATAGTGAGATCCTATCTCTTAAAAAAAAAATTAGCCAAGTGTGCTAATGCACGCCTATAATCCCAGCTACTCAGGAGGCTGAAGTGGGAGGATTGCCTGAACCAGGAGGTTGAGGCTTCAGTGAGCTGTGATCCTGCCACTGTACTCTATCCTGGGTGACGCAAGGATAGAGCAAGACTCTCTCTCAAAAAACCAAAACAAAAAACATAGTACAAAGCATGGCACATAATAAACACTATGTAAGTGTTCACTGTTACCCCTTTCGTTACTGTCTGAAATTGAATGTCCCATTGTTCATTTTTATTTCCACTTCCTACTTACGTCTTCACAGTATTTATAAAAACTTATAGTACCTTATTTATTATGTCTTCTTCACCGGATACTGAACAACAGAAAAGCAGGGACCATGTGTCTTTTATTCTCTTTGCTATCTCTAGTGCCGAATTCAGTGCTTGTCATATAGTTAGCATCTATAATAAATATTTACTAGAATAGGACAGAAATCATGCCACATATTGAAACATGAGTGACCAAACTAAGATCACTGTAGGACCCAATGAAATCAAAGCCCAGATCAGGTAGAGCCCAGCTTTAATGTTCTACTTTTATCAAGTGACATTTGATTTTTGTCATTACTTTTTATCAAAGGCTTTGTTCTTAGGCTTGACTCTCGTACCTTTATTGATTCAATTATTTAAATCAAATTTTAATGGAAGACTTTAAAAAAATAAGAGAATCGCCGGGTGCGGTGGCTCACGCCTCTAATCCCAGCACTTTGGGAGGCTGAGGCAGGTGGATCACAAGGTCAAGAGATCGAGACCATCCCGGTCAACATGGTGAAAGCCCATCTCTACTAAAAATACACAAATTAGCCAGGCATGGTGGCGCGTGCCTGGAATCCCAGCTACTCAGGAGGCTGAGGCAGGAGAATTGCCTGAATCCAGGAGGTGGAGGTTGCAGTGAGCCGAGATCGCGCCATTGCACTCCAGCCTCGGTAAACAAGAACGAAACTCCGTCTCAAAATAATAATAATAATAATAATAGAATCATTTTTAAAATTGAGTCAGTGTTTTGGGCAGGAAGGTGTTTCATTGAAGCTAGGATGCAATCTTATAAAGTACACTATTATTTTATATACTACTAAGAAAAAAATGCCAACTATGGCACAACTCTATGACTAAGAATTTTTTCTACTCATACAAAGAGCTCCCTTAAAAAAAAGTCATATAATATCCTTGCACCTACATACAAAGAACATAAGCAAAATTAATTGCCTGAGGTACTCCTAAAACTTCTTAACATTCAAAGTGTCTTTTATTGATTTTCAACTCTGAGTCTCCATGTCTATGTTTTGTTTTTATAGTATCATTCTCTGTTTAGAGCATTAGTGATACATCATTTCTTAAACCAATGTCCATTATCTCCAGGGGTTTCTTCCAAGATGCTGATATCCATATTTCAAATTTAATACACATGTAATGACAAATATGTCATGACTACCACCCAACCAGAGTGATTATAAGATGTCTGTCAGGTGCAGATAAGTGCGGAAGAAGTTTGAGTCTTAACATCAGTGAAATAGCATAATTGAATTTGAAGACTATTTGAAGAAAAATAATTGCCTTATAAATTTTTGCCAAGAATTAAGAATTGTTTAACAGTTAATGTTATTCATTTTAATCATTAATATTTATGTATAATTTGACAATATTAATATACATTGTATCATTTAAGTCTCACAGCAGTCCAGTGTGATAGGTATGTCCACATTGCAGATGAGGAAGCCAAAACTTCAGAGAGCCTAAGTAGGAGTCACTAGTTAGTGATGAGCCATTTA